TTCCTTCCTTCCTTCCTTCCTTCCTTCCTTCCTTAGCGTTTGCTCTTAGCTAGTACAGAGGCACATTACCTCTTATTTATGTTGTTGTTGTTGCTTTTTCTTCAGACGTACCCAGAATTTACGCCAGACATATAATCCATGAACGGCCACAAGGAAAAATTCCTTTAGGCAAATTAAGTTTAAGTAAAAAAGTATAAAAAAACATAGAAGTATTAAAAAGTAAAGAAGTAAAAAAAGTTAAAAACAAGACCAGACTGAGAATCGAGATAGCAGATGTAGTAACACCAATATAATTCAATAAAAAGTCTTGAAATGGTAGCCATGATGAGTAGTTCTTTTTTCAATCATGAGAAAAGCTTCGAGCCACCACAATACTGAAAACCCTTTATTAATCTCTTCGTTTTTGAGACAAATAACTGAAGATAAGATATAGTCCTCCATACCACGTGTGTAAATGGAATTAAAAGATAGAGCAAACGTTTTAAATGCTCCCTAAAATTCGATAAATAGATCGAGGATATTACATGGGCGCGCGGAGATACGAAATTTATCTACGAGTGTTGAAGCGCAGCGAATTTCGTATCTCCAAGCGCCCATGTAATATTCTGTTTATTATATAATTATCCATAAAATCAACTTAACAAGCTTTTTATTATCATAAAAAGTTTTTATTTATAAACTAATAGCTTGAATACGCAAGGTAACGATATTTCCACATGTGAAAATAACATGTTATTTTGACATGTGAAAATATCAATTTTTCGAAAAGGAGAAATATAGGTATTTTATGGATAATTATATGATAATTCACAATATTCTAACAAATCTTAAACAGTAGAGAAACTTCTCCTTTCTGAGAAAAAATGTCGACGTTGTGGTTTACTGCTCACCTCTCACCACTGTGGTCCGGGTTCGAGCCCTGGCTCAGACTGTATCATATATGAGTTGAGTTTGTTTGTTGTGTTGTTCTCTCCCTTGCCACGAGGGTTTTCTCCGGGATCTCCGGTTTCCTCCCTCCGAAAAAAACAACCGGTGAGTTGAATGTAGCCTGCGTGTAAATTCGGTCTACACACAGCTAGTTTGCCACTGGGTTCTGATAATTAAAAAGCTGTAAAGTTCTTCGTCAAGTCTTATAGTGTGCAAGGTGAACTAAATTAACGTCGCCTACGATAAATACATTTTACATATAATTTATGCCAGAGGTTTTTTGTTACTGTTCTACGCAGCAAAGAATGTGCCGAGACCTCAATATCGATTTTAAAATTTTATATTTGGAGTTTTTCTTTACCATTAATGGATTAATCGAAGACGAGAAAGCTTTTTCGTTTAAAAAAATTTGAAATTAAAATTTTTACTTTAAAAAGTTAAAATAGAGAAATGATGGCGAGTTCCTCCTTCACTGGAGACATTTCGGCTCCTCTATATTTCTATAACCTTTCTATTTTCTTGTTGTTACATGGATGTTTAGGTTAATTTGGACAAATCACATCTGGGTTGACAGTTGTCTTAAACCACGAATAATTTTCGTTGCCTAGGTGATTTCCTACTACCACTAAAGCGAGATGGTCATGCTCTTAAATTGTACTAAAGCTACCTTCAAGTTTCGCTGCATTTGAGGATGGTGAATTCCTCAGGCTTGCTTTTGGGACCCTTTTAGCCGTGCCCTGACTTAGATCAGCCCAGAGGTTGTTTCAGGGTTTGATCTGTGAGTTAGCCATGCCCTGACTTAGTTTAGCCCAGAGGTTGTTTCAGGGTTTGATCTGTGAGTTAG